CCCGGTAGCGCGGGAAGCAGCGTTCGCCAATATTATTTAAAGGCCTCTAACGCTGCAGGAAAATTTTAGTAGAAGATTTAGAACTATGTATGTATTTAGTTTTAGCGTTTGTTCCCGCTTTGAGGGCGTGAAATGCCGTGTCAATGTCCCTAATAAGTCATTGTCCCGGCATTTCAATTGTCGCCCATAAGCATGAACCAGGCCACCAACTCACAAGCTTACATGCAACAACTAAACTAACACAAGGTCGTCCATATGGCACCTTTCCTTGGACAAGGCATCCTCCAATTGGCACGCGGTAAATTGACTTAGATTGTTTGCCCTGGCAAACTTATGTACTCCAAACTCATCCACTGGACGATGCTGGCTGTATTTCTTGCGTGGGCGATCTTGTCGCCGACGGGCGATGTTGTCCAGGGCGTTCCGGTCAAACTCGTAGGCGCCGACCTCATTACCGTTGTCCATGGACATTGTGTTGGAAGGATACGTTAAGGTTCCGATAAAATGAAGAAATGAAGCGCTCCTTCATAGTATGGAGATGGTAGAATCGTCAAGCAACTTTTGAACGACCAGGGAGAGTTGCTGATAGGCGAATTTGTATGAAGCTATAGAATTCCTTTATTCTTTCAAGGTAAATGAATGCTTATGTATTCGTCCGTTAGTAGCGTGAAGCTTTGAACACTCTTTGTACGGCAGATTCGGCACAATGTTTTGCCTCATTGCGATGTTGCCTGAAAATTTTGAACAGAAGGGATCACTGCTCATGCTGGTGCAGCAAGGCATGTAAGGAGATGGCCTGGTCACAATCCAGCAGTCATATATCGACAATCTCAAGCTATGACAACTCGTTACATGTGTCTGTAATAAAAAAGGGACTTTGCGATGGTGTGGGGAGCTCTTTGAGTGGTGGGACTGTGGAAATCCAGTTTGTTTCGCCCGTAACAAGTTTGTTACGGGCGAAACAACGTCCCTCTGAAACGTTTGGATATGCCTATGCAACACATTTCCTCAATTTCATGAACTGCAAGTATTCTAATCCAACATCACCCCAATCTCAGTGTAAACTAGTCTCCAAATGTGCCTGCACAAGACTGTCACCCCTGTCACCCGGCATTCACATTGCCTTAACCTCCTAAGCTTGTCGGGGTGTGACACGTGGGCATGAACCTTGTGACAATGGGCATTGTCACAAAGAAACTGGTTGCAATCAGAAATGCATTTTTCCTCATGCCAGGTTACCGACATCGGTTACCGATTACTGGGGACGGTTAACGGATAACGGTTCGCTCGGTAATCCTACCGACCGGTTACCCATCTCGTTAACTGGACCCGTTAGGTCGGAACCGGGCCGGAACCGGCCTGGAGTATGCCATTGGGGGGGGAGAGGCACTCCGCACTGCTGCAATTGCGAACACCCACGTTGCGGGGAGGGCCTGTGTGGTGGCGTTATCAATGCCCCTGATCATACACACACACATCCGGACCCGCCCGCCTCCCCCAAAGCCACAACGACAACCGCCATAACAGCAATAACCCGCTTCCTCCCTTCCTCCCTTTGTCCGTACTTCCGTACTAGCCTCGCCCGGTATCCCTGGCCCCTTTACACCCCCCTTTCCCCCCGCCCCCTCCTCCCCCTAGCAGCCCTGTTGTTTCCAGCAACTCCCGGGCCGTGTTGTTGATGGCGGTGAACCGGGCCGGGCCCAGCAGCACGCCGCCGAACCAGCGGGATACCACCACCACCACATTGCGGACATCAGCAGCCTGAGCCCGGGGGGGAAAGAGGGGGGGAGAGCTTGGGTTTGTGGCTATGCGGACTAGGGTTGTTGTCGCTGGTTTCATGTTTTGCGGTGTGCGCGTATGTATGTGTGCATGTGTACGTATCTGTGCGTGTGGGGGGGGAAGAACCATACGCGCAAATGGGGTCGGATTGCCCGTGGTGCATCCATACATACATACATGCATCCATACCCTCACACGCCCCGACTTTCCCCTAGGCTCCCCCTCCTCCCCACATTGCTCCCGGTTAGGATTGTTTATTCATCCCCCCACAAACACATTCCACACCACCGCCACCACCACCACACACACACACACAAACCACACAGCCCAAGGCCACCACACGTCTGCTCATTTTCCGTACGTACCGCAGCAACAGGGCACCCGCTGTTCCTGATCCCCACTCCGCCCCCCCCCAACAGGGCACCTCCCCCCCAACAGGGCACCTCCCCACCAATACCCAATCGCCGCCACGTGGGCTCTCACCCCACCTCCACCCCACCCCTCACCCCAGGGGGCTTAGGGTCAAGTCCAAAACACACACACACACACATACGCACGCGCGCGCGTGTACGTCCGTACCTGCAAGAGGTGCAGCAGCCTCCCCCCCGCGGCGGCCTCCCCATCATCGTCATAGTCCTGCAGTACGATAATCCACGTCACAGCGGTTCTAGCCCTTCTTCGTAAAGGGGGTTCACTCGGGTCTACTTACTCGCACACAGGCATACAGGTATATTCCGACTTCCTGACAGACAGATAGACAGACAGATAGACAGACAGACAGACAGACAGATAACACCCTCCGCACACCGCTCCAGCCTCTATCCCCACTCCCCACTGCTCCATTCCGCCACTGACAGATCCCGCCTTCCCCCAGCTGGTCGCGCAGTAACCCAGTGCCCCCCTCACCTCCCCTTCCCCCTCCCCTTCCCCCCCGTAACCCCTACCTGCAGGAAGGTGCCCGCTCCCCCTCCCGGGCCCACTGTGTGTATTCGGTACGCCATGATATTGTGTGTGGCTGCTCGGATCTTGCTAACAGACAACAGAGCGTCCATAACCGCCGTCACCTGCTCGAAGCTACTCACGGGTGCCACGTGAGCCTGCGCCGTACAAATGTACGTGTGCATATATGTGACTGGTGCCGTGTAGAGTGTGTGGGCAACGTCTTGCCGAGCGAATGGCCTACAGTACTACTTTCTACGCTTTTTCTTTTGTGGGTGGGGGTTGTAGTGGGGGTGGGTGCGAAATCAACTTTCATCCCCCCCCGGTGCGGTGAGGTGAGGTGAGGTGGGGGGGCAAGTGGCAATGTATTGTTGGGTGGCAGTCATTACATCGCTTCACCCGGGGACCACCCTCACGCATCCCTCTCCCTCTCCACCCTAGGGTACGACCGCCGTACGCCACCCACCTGAAAGGTAGATTTCTTCTCCACGTACGGCACTCCACTGGTGACTCTAAGGGCCCCCAGCAGCTCCATCACCTCGGCCTCCCGAACCGCCTCCTGGGGCTCCGTGTATGTGCGTGTGTATGTGTGTGCGTGTATATGTATGTATGTGTGTATTTGGGAGGGTTGGCAGGGGGGCAGGGGACGGGGAGGCGGACACATCGTGTACTAAAACGCAAAGGCGGGTTTGTGTCCGGCTTTCCTGTACAACAGAGCGGGATTGCGCGGGAGAGAAAAGTCTTATTTCATGAAAACCAGCCACCAAAGCGGCAGCCGGGTTTTAACTGGTCATTCTTTCCCCTCCCCCTCTGCTTTTCCAAAGCCACCCGTACATACACACACCGCTCCACACACACACTACATACATACACACACCGGTAGGATAAGGATAAGAGACCCTGGCTGGTATTGGGTACCCAGTCTCCCCGCCCTTCCCCCCCGCCGATATTGTAGACGTCGGCATTTGACTCCTTGCTTTAGACGTACACGCAAACTAAACCCCTCGCCCCCCCAACGACAAATAAGCCATTCTATGACCTCATTACCCATACACACACACACACGGCCTCCAGCTCCCCCCCCCCCCAACCCACCTGGGCCGCCCTCCGGGAAGTCCCACCACCCCCTTCCCCCTCCTGCCCCTGCTGCTTCTGTGCCTGCTGCCGTACAGAGGGTACGGCCCACAACATGTCATGTTGTTCTCTCAGCCACTCAACCCAGTTGTACAACACCACCTCACCTACCGGGGGAGGGGGGAGGGGGGCGCCAAGGACACAGGGCATAGGCGCAGGGCACGGAAATGGTACGAAAGTTGTTGTACGTGTCGTACTTTATTCAGCCGGTTCTCTGGCAGCGGTCACGCCCCGAAACCCAGGCACCTCCATTGGCCCGCCTCCGCCACTACCCAGATTCGTGTCGGGTGCCAGGCTTTGCCAGACTTCCCCCCAACCCCTCCCTCTTTCCCTTCACCCCTTTTCGCACGTACCCCCCCTCCCCCTTTCCCCCTCCCTCCCTCCCTCCCTCCCCCTTATTGTACGGACCACACCGGGGGTGAACATCGCCTCCATCTGCTTGACTGCCCACGACAACACGTCATCGGAAAGGTGATTACCGTACAGTACGGCAACGGGGCAGGACAAGCTAGGGTAGTCGTACGGCAGGGAGGCGCGCAGCACTACCTCTTGGCTCCCGCCCTGGGGATGGGGAATACACACCTGCGGCGATTGGAGGGGGAGGGATGATCGGGGGCGAATTGTGCTAAACAGTGTGTGTGTGTGTTTTACTGGGTGATCTTCAGGGAGCCGCAGTGGGGTGTTGGGGGGCGGGGGGAAATTATATTGGTCGTGGTACACCAGGTAATAACTTCATAAGGTTGAACCGAAGCGACCAGGGGACCGTATATGTGTGTGCGGGCGGAGGAGGGGGGTGCCGGTGTAACATCACTCTGAAGGCGCGGGGAGGGACGGGGGGCAGGGTGTGTGTGTACGAACACCGCGACCCATTCCTCCCCCCACCGGGGAGGAGGGGGGAGCTAGGGGTCAAACCCAACCCGAAGGAGGGGGGCAGCACGCGGGGGGGCCGACGGCCACCAATAAATCCTGGAGCCCCATGGAGATAGCAGTAGCAGTAACAACGTAGACGGGTGTGGCTATTGGGGTGATGGGCGTGTCGTGTATCAGAGCTCAGGAGGAACAGGTCATAGCTGTCTTGGCGCGACTGGTGACGTGAGGGCACGTTGGATGGCGGGGACGTACTGTAGGTGTCGACGCGAGGGATGATGGGACCGAGACTAAATAGCAGAGTTGAGGAAGAGTTGGTGCGGTCACCTCAACGAGGGACTCCTCCCTGGAGACGTTGACTGATTCACCAAATATGGCTTCCAGGGCCAGGAGCTCCTCTTCCCTGGCGGCGGCATCCACTTCAATTGCGTCGTCGCCCATCTCAATTCACGTTAACTTCTGATGGGAGCTTTGCGTTCTTTTTGATGAGGACTTTCCCCGTGCTGCTATTATTCTTCCTGCTGATCGGTCTTATATAACCTTGCTTCCGAGGACTGCAATACCGGTGTCTCTCATCTCCAGCTCAAACATAAGTTTTCGGTGCTGAGGGAAGCAACCACCCCAAAACTCCTCCGGCTTCATGATTTCATAGCACTGAGCAACGAAGCGGTCACCATTCCACCTAAGCTGGGTTGGGCTGTACGGGAGGTGGCTACAAGTAATTGGAAAGCAAATTTCAGGCCCTTCAATGCACGTTCGTGGTGTCACTATGTAGTTTTTAATGCAGTGTGTGGCCATGCTGGCAGCTGCAATTCATTATCTTTTAATTACGACAGACAAGAGGCACATTGACATGATTCTTCTAATTCTGGTTATGAACATATGCTTACCATCCATTCAAGAGAAGCCCAACATTTATCAGTGCAGCTGTTCCCTGGATTAGCCCCTAAAGAACGCACGTCCTGGACATCCGTCAGAGCGCGTTCAACTCTTAGCTGACGTGTATCATATTCTATGTAGTACTGTATTATACCGTTGCCAGGTCAGGACTAAGGGCCGGGCTCCACTGACCGGGCACCGTCGGCAAACGCGCAGAGTTGTCCTGGAACGCGATCTGGTTAATAGGCATCCATACGACATTTGCGAATGGTGCAACTCGTGGTGATAGTCCGGGAAAGCGGGATATTGACGCAACTCGAGGTTCACATGGCCGTGCTGCACGCGATGCTGTCTCAAGAGAGCCTCGTCATTGTTATGAGCTCCAAGGTACTCAGTGGGAGTTCCTTGGAAGGACATTGACGAGGATATGGCACTCGCCGGTTTGTGTAGCAGGCGTCTGTCTCTCCTAGCACCGTGGACTGCACTGGTCAACGCACCAAATATACGCCTATTAAGCTGACATCACTGCAAAGAGTATATGCGAGGTCGAACATTTTATACATGGTCGGGAGCATGTCCTAGCTAAGGATTTCCCAGCGAGGGATATGGACAGGGCTCGGGCCGAAACCTAGATTGCAAAACAGTTTCCGATTTTTGACCTTCCTGCATAACCTCGCGAAACATCCGGTAACTGACGGAAACCTCGAAATGCTGCAATTTGTTATGTCTATGAATGGAATAACTTATGGGAAAAGTTACGGAAATTTCTCTTTCGATTGCCCGTCCGCAGTGCTCGGGCCGAAACGGAAACTCTGAGAAACGGAAACTGTGCGAAACCTGTTTAAGCAGCCCCTCGCAGAAATGTGAGCCGTCGTACTCTGCCGAATAAACAGACCGTACAAAATGGCCCAAAGACAGTCCCGAATTTTAACGCGCGGATGCGCGCGTGCGATTCGCAAAATGCGCGTGTACAAGTGTATATAAATTTTCTTAGAAGAAAGGCCGCGGTGCGACAGCGCGTTGCGCAGGTGGGCATGTTGGCCACAGGCGCACGCGGCATGCAGGCTGGACTATTGCGTGGCTGCTTTGCAGTAATTGAAATCACAGAAAGCAAACAACGTAGCTTGCAAGACTGGGCGCTTGAAACGACCGCGGGAAGAGGAAGCGTTTGGCGAAGCGGCAGTTTGCGCAAGCAAACGGGCGCGGATTCGGTAGTGCAACGTATACAGCACCTTTTTCAGAGTAAAGTCAAATTACAAAGTTGCGCAAAGTATAACATACATAAACTTAATTAAACATAAGAACAGATAAGACGTTTAGAGCCTTGTCGGTGACATGGACGCCGCTGTTGGCTTGGAACAGCTATTTGCTGTGCATAGGGACGTGCCCGCGTTAGCCGTGTTGCAACAGCTCAGGATGGATTTCAGCCAGCAACAGCCTCAAGAGCTGCTGCACAACCACCGGGAATGTCTTCAGTTGGGCACGTGTAGTTTTGGTCGGCGGGGTCGAGCAACGTACGCAATGCGCACAGAAACCAAGGTGCAGCGTTCTGTAACATCGCCAACATATCCGGTACGCGGTGGCAGGCTTGCCGAGCACGAAATGAAGGGGGGGTCGCATCTCACCATTCAACTAGGCATGCATGTGCTCGGTTGAATGCTCGGTAGCGTGCGAGTTTACCCCTATCAGGATGTTTGTTTGCATATCCCTCCAAGCGAGAGGGCTTGCACCTATGCTGATGTTCGTTCCAAGAAATGAACTGAGGACTGATGCTACGGTGGAAGATTTGCACGTAAATTCGCCCGTGCAATAAAACGCCCTGTAACTCGCTTACGCTAATCTCACATTCCAATATGCCACTGCACTTTCCTCTCCAGCCTGGCCACATTCTCTTCCTCGCAAACGTACTTGGGCACCTTACAATCCAACACCATACGTGCTTTAGAAACGCGGGCAGCTGCTTCACAAGGACCCCCCTATTTCCATGTTTTCGGCAAAGAGGTCCAGGAACACCGAAACTAGTTACCAGCGCCGTACGCGGAATCTGTTTTCAAAGCGTCCGCATGGTCTTGAAGCAAAACTATGCAATAGTTTATCTTTATGCTTATAATGTCAAAAATAATTTCAGTGTTAGCGGAGAACCAGGCACCTCAGTTGATGGCTCTGACTGAGTCAAAAAGAAGGGAAGGAGGCCCAAGGACCACACCGTTTGGGTTCACTTCATTAAGAGGGACTAAAATACCAAGTCAAAGACATGGGGCGTCTCCTGCAAGTACTGTCCCTGCCCTCGACATGTCCCTACCCAAGACATGATCTCCCAGCTTTTTTTCTATGAACCAAGAAGCTTCATGTAAGATGCTCAGGGCTGCCTCTGTCAATAGATGATCACTTATCCCAGAACAGTCCAATCAGCAAACCCTCAGATGTCGAGACACTTCCCTACACCTCTGTAGCCTTTTCCCATGAATAGAATTTGCAACTCTTGCAAGCAAAAGACATATAGGTCACAAAGGATACAAATTCAGGCCTGTACGACCTTTGGGTAGGTGACAGTCGGGTGATCGCGAGACCTGAGAGCTGTCTGAGGGTATCCAAGCATGCGCCTTGGCACGCAAGGCCCATTTACGACGTTTGCCATTCATCGACATAGCATATTTGCAGCACTTCGAGGACTCCGATAGTTACCGGAGGTTTCGAAAGGTTTCGCGGGAAGGTCGAAAATCGGAAACTGTTTCAGAAACGCAGTCTATCACATCTATCAGATCAGCCCGATCACTGGCCGTCCGGCAACTTCTCGCACGGGGCCCTTCGCGCTGCAAAAGCTACAAACACACATTCCTTTACATATGTACTATCAATTGGTGCATGACATCCCAAGAAAGGAGGTGCGGCGGACCCGGCCGGCCCTAAGGAAAAATTACGAAAATTTACGACCAGCCAATGGAAAGGCCCTCTTAGCACTTGCATTGTGCGAAAAGAGGTATAACTCAGCAGGATAATGGAAGGCGATCCCTCAGCGTCTAGGGAGCACATGATCACTTGCGACAAGCTTCAACTAGTCATGCATGGGGTGTGGGAGTCCACCTGTGGGCGCTTCACGTCCTGGCCAAGCTCCCCGCTGCCTTGCCCTTTGTTTTTGTTTGGGGGACTTAAAACAGTTTACCCTGTCTGACAATCAGTTTGCTCCCTTCCTCTGAAAGCTCGACCAGCGATCATGACTACGCGCGCTTGTTCACGCCACCCCGTTACAAAGGAAACGTTTGGCCGTTTCAGTCCATGGCCTGATACGGCAACACCACCGAGGGCGCTGAGATGGAAGACACCAAATCTCCGATTTTTTAAACCCATAACCACACCCAAAAATGTTTTAATGAAAACTCCACTGAATTGGGTAAACTGAGAAAACTGAACGGCAGGGTTGCTCGACTGCAATCCTACCTCGGCCGAGAAACCGAACAATTGCTCCCTTGTTATTTCAGCAAACATACCTTGAGCACTATTCTCAAACTGTGGCTTGGGAACGCGATGTAACCGGAGCTTTGCCACTCCTGCCATTTCATGACGTAAACGCAACAGCCATATGACAAATCGTTTCTTCCTGATTTGACATTCGCCACATTCCCTGTCAGGGGAAAGGGAGGGCGGTCCGTTCACTTCCGGTCATCTGCTCCTCCCTCCGCCGTGTGTGTGTGTGTGTCCTCCCTCCGCCTCTTAATATCCGCGGCCTATTAGGAGGTCTGGTTGGGGGTCGCTCTCCCCTAGGGCAGGCGGCCGATTGGGGGCGGCGCGAATCGCTGTGAGGTCGTGAGGTAGAGAATTGTTGTGGTGTGGTGGAAAGAGTAAAAAGAGTTGTTGGTTTGAATTGCGCTAGCAAAGCCCCGCAGCGGCTGCAGCAGGAGGTGAGAAAACAGCGACAGAAGTAAACAAATAAAAATGGTCACGAGTGTTTCCTAATCAGCATCCTCCCCCATGTGGCAAACTGCGTATCAACCCAACCTTCCTCACTCATCCAGCAGATTCATCCTCAAGCAAGCCGGTAGTACGCAACGTTTTAACAGTACCATATCACCATTGTTGTTGCCCGTGAGCCAACCTTGCTAACGCCGCACTTGATTAGCCCACTGTGGGCCCCCCTACCTCCCCCTTACCTCCCATATGATTAGCATATCTGGGGTTGCTGGGCCGGGGCAGGGGGAGGGCGGAGTTGGCCTAGTTAAGACTGACTTAGTATCCTAATCAGGACATATGTTGCACCCGCTGATATTAATCTACCTGTCTGTCTACCTACCACTAGCTGTATTCGCGGAATCTGGCACTTGCCTAATCGCCTGCACACCACCTCTACCTGTCAATATCATGTCTTCAGATGATGTCGGACGGCTGCTCCTGCGGCCCTTCCCCCGGTCGACCGGCTCGTATATCTGATATATACCCTCGGGCCGGCGTGGCTGCATCATTGGTGGGGGGATTCATCCGCCGGCCGCAAGCTGTTTCCAACACCGGCGGGATCGAATTCCACTTTCCATTCCACTTTCATCATCGCGCACTCGCCTGTACTCGTAACAGCATCTACAGCAAACCCTGTCTCAGCGGGCGGCGGCGTGGATAGCCCCCAGCCAGGTTGGGTGTGGAATGTTACGGGGGTTAGAATGGGGTTACTGCGCGTGAGTGTGTCCTCTCTTGAGCGTTTCGAGTCCTGTCATCTCCATTCGCCTTCCTTTGTCCGTTTCGTCCTTTCTCCATCTATTACCAGCTGCCCAACCCACTTGGCATCTGGCCGTGTGAAAAGAATTTGGGGCTTCTGGTGCGAGTGCTCTGATCACGGATTGAAGTACCTTACGATCAGAAGTTTCTACCAAGTTTTTTGAGCGGGGAGCTTACCCGTCCGTCGGGGTAACCAGTCCGCAAACCGCGGTGTTTTAGTGTTGATAGCTAGCAGGCATATGCTTTATCTGCCTTCGGTAAATGTTGCCTTGATCGTAGCGGTTAGGGTCATGCAGCTACGTACCGCGGCTTTAGCGCAAATCCCTGCCTGGCGTTTGCTGAACACAAAGAGAAGCGCGCAAGAACTCGGCAATTTCATAGAGGCGCTTGATGTAACCTTTTGACGTTTTAAGCACCCCGTGAAAAAAACCCGTTGCGGCTTGTCCTCGTTTTTGCAACAGCCCACTTTCCAGTTTTGGCATATGGATTCGATGAGCAGGTTGTTCGTACGATTTGACTTGCTCCGTACTACATCAATAGAGCCCACAAGAATGCAACTCGCACGCTGTAGTTCACATCAACTCAGTCCAGGACTGGAAAAATGCAGGTTCACGCGAACCCGGCGTTCTCTGTGGCCCGAGTGCGATCCCAGCGACGAGGTGCGTTACAAGAAGCCAGGCTCTAGGACTTTTTACTCTTTTTGAAATACCTTGTACATAACTAGTTTTTCATATGGCCTGAATGTCTTACCTATTCTCCCCTGGCCTGGCGCTGTGTCCCGGTGCGACCATCGACGCGATGACCGCAGGAACCACACGTGCAGTTGCTGGCGCATCAGCGGAATTCTTGCAGAGGTAACTTCCAGAGCAACATGAACATATAAGCTTAGTAAGATAGGAGCGCTATATCTTACATACCTCTCTTTCGCTTTTTGTCGATATGTGCTTAGCAAAGCAAGCGCGCGCCCTCCTTAGACACCCTCAAACCACAACTTCACGAATTAATTCAAATTCTTTTATCCTCACAATCTTTACAAAGATGCCGCACTCTCATTCCACCCCCTTCCCTCAGCTCTCGTAGGCGCACATCCGTAGCCGGATTCCCCCTTCCGGCACATTGCGCACGTATACGCCTGCTGCATCAATAACTTCAACACCCGCACTACCATTTCCCCACGCTTATCTATGTGTGCCCCGCCATCTGCTCTGCCACTTTCCCCCTCCCCTGCAGCTCCGCCTCCCCCTCCACGTCCCCCTCCTCCCCGCGCACACCCCCACCCCCGCCCACTCACCGGGGGGTGCTCATCCTCCCCGGCCTGGGCAACAACGCGGCGGACTACGGCCCCCTTGCCGTACAACTGGAGGCGCGAGGAATGGCGGTGGAGGTGGCGCAGGTGTGCTGGCCAGGATGACTTAAAATGGCCACTATGTATTTATGTATGTATGTGTGTATGGCCAGTATGTATGTATGTATGTATGTATGTATGTATGTGTGTATGGCCTGTATGGCCTGTATGTATGTATGTATGTGTTGTTGGTTACATTGTGGGCTGGGTGGGATCCCAAAAATCCCATCCGCGGCCTTTTCTGTCTATTTGTCTGTTTGTCTTCCCTCTTGGGCTCTCCTCGGGAGTCTGGTGCTCTGATACCATCTCCCGAAGGCACACGAGCATCCCCCCCTTGCCCCCTCTCTCCGTCCCCTCTCCCACATACATACATACACACACTCAGGTCACTCGCCCCGACTGGTCTCGGAACGCCGCCGCATTGGCTGATCCCGACTGGTGGAAGGGCTGTCTGAAACCCCGACCCGCCGTCAACTGGTGGGTTGGGGGGGAGAGGGGGAACTGGTCGGGGGGGAGAGGGGGAACTGGTCGGGGGGGAGAGGGGGAACTGGTCGGGGGGGAGAGGGGGAACTGGTCGGGGGGGAGAGGGGGAACTGGTCGGGGGGGAGAGGGGGAACTGGTCGGGGGGGAGAGGGGGAACTGGTCGGGGGGGAGAGGGGGAACTGGTCGGGGGGGAGAGGGGGAACTGGTCGGGGGGGAGAGGGGGAACTGGTCGGGGGGGAGAGGCGAATAGAGCGACAAAATGAGCAAAACAAAGCATCAGCTGCCTACGCGTGTGTATGTATGTATGTATGTGCGCAAAAGTGATTCCAGACCTCATGGAAAGAGTGGGGTAATGTAGGTATACAAATGCCGTACTTGCCGGGATGGAAAAACGGGGGACAAGCGGACAGACACCCCTCTCCCCCTCCCCCCCCCCGGCAGGTACCTGGACAAGGTGGATGCGGCCATGCAGCGCCTGAAGCGGAGGGTGGAGGCGGCGGAGGCGCCCATCACCATGCTGACTCACTCGGTACGGCAGACGTGGGCGACGGAGGCGACGGGGCGTACACACATACACACATAAATACTGCGCGTCACTTTTGCGTTTTGATCATGCAGCAGGTCTTTTCATGTTGCTTTCCCTTTTAAACCTACATACGTACATACGTAGATATCGCTTCTTGCCGTTTCCGCCCGCCCTCCCCCCCCCCGCACATCCCCGCCCTCACCCGCCGTATACACCCCTTGCCACACACCCTTTTGGCTCACTCCCCGCCCCCCCCCCCGCACGTCAGGCTGGTGGCTGGCTGGGCCGTGTGTATTTGTACGACTGGGGCACCGAGGGTGTCGACCGTTTCGTGTCCCTGGGCTCCCCCCACCTCCCCCCTCCTCGGGGGGCGAAGGGGGTGGACCAAACCCGGGGCATACTTACGGCGTGCAACGATATGAGCCCAGGAGCCTTCCATAGCTCGGTGAGTGTGTGTTTGTATGTATGTATGTAATTACGTGTGTGAGGTGGGGGATTGGGGGGCCGGAGGTTAAGAAGGGCGGGTGTACTGTGTGGGGTGGGGTGGGGTGAGACGGGGGCGGATGGGTTTGGATTCGAAGCCAGGGAGGGATCCGCTGCGAAATGTCGACCGGGCTGAAAACCACCACAACCACAACCACCAACTGCTCCCTTTCAACCGCCGATATGACAGGGTTGCCGCTTTGAAGGCTTCACGACATTGCCGTACATTTACTGCTCTCGTTATGCACCGTGTACTAAACCACCCCAACCGCCATGGGAGTTAACACAAACTAATTTCATTTGAATCGGGTTGCAGATTCAATACGTCACCATTTGTGGCAAGTTCGTACACGGCGTACCGCTCACCGGAAAGGCGGCCACGCACACGTCCAACCCCCCAACCGCTAACGGTAACGGACCCTCGTCCTGGCTCGCCAAATTCGCCGGGTTGGGGTATGAACAGGTGCGTGTGTATGTATGTATGTATGTATGTATGTATGTATGTGCATGTGTGCGGGGGTTACTCTGTGCCATGTGCGTACAACAGGGGGACAGGGGGACTAATGGGGCCGGATGCGGGGAACAAGCCAATTGATACCCAGTCCGCGGAGGCTTATCTCTCCCCCCCGGCCCCCCAAACCCCCACTAAACAACTCCCGGGGATTGGAGAGTCGGGGGGAGGGTGAGGGGAGCGCTGTGATGAGCCAGCGGAGTCCCCCTCTGGCCCCTCCCCCTCTGGCCCCCCTGCCAGGTGTGTGGTGAGGCGGAGGTGTGGGGTGACGGCATCGTGCCTCAGCCCTCCGCCCACCTGGAGGGGGCCTTATCCGTGGACTTGGAGGGGGTCTTCCACTCGCCGTTGGGGGAGAAGCTGCCCTTCCTGGGGCCCTGGTACGGCTCGCCGGAGGTGAGTGAGGGAAAGGGGGGGGGACGGGGCTTCAATGTGGTTATTGCGAGGGAGGGTTGTGGGAAGGGAGGTTGGTGGTTGAAGGGGTGGTGGTGGTGGTGATGGGAAGGGGGCCCTGGGTGTGGGTGAGTGGGATTCCTTCGCGGCCCTCGGGAAAGGGGGCTCCTGTTGCCGCCGATTCGCGTCACGTGACGTCATGTCAAGTTAGCAAACTCCCTGAACCCGTGTGTGTATTATGATGTGTATGTATTAGGTGTTGGAGCTGTGGCTGCATCACCTCACTGGGGAGGCAGAGACACAGGCATCAGCGGCAGCGAGTACGGCAGGTACGACGGCCCGGGTGGCGCCGGCGTGAGGCGCCTCAACGGCGATCATGACGATGGCCCTGTCGTGAGCATCAGCGACGACGCTGATCTCATCGTACCTAAAGCGTGCCGTACAGACGGATGTACGGATGATTGTACAGCGAGTTTCCGTAGGTCAACTGCCTCGCGTCGGAGCTCTCCGATCTTCCCCGTCAGGGAGGACGGGACATTGCCCTCCAGCCCCTCCGTACCAAGGGGGGAAGAGAGAAGAGCTGCTAACGGCCATGTTGATGCATTTGGTGGATATTAATTCGGTTTACCTGCACTTTAGGTACTTAGGGTTTCTATGTATGTATGTGTGTATGCTTCGGGGGGTAATGTCCCTGGATGAATACCTAAGCCGCGAAAGAAAACACACAATGGGTGGCGGTACTAGGTAGGTCGTGGTCTGCCTTATGCCATTTGTCGGCCTGTCTGTCTACCTGTCTTTCTGTTGGTTTGTCTGTTTGTATGTACATGTGTTTAATGTGCGTCGTCGTCATCATCGAGTAATCCGAGATGTGAGGGGCTGTGTGTGAGCGGCAGGAGGAGAAGAAGAAGAAGAAGAAGAAGGTGTTGTTATTTCTGTCCGCCATCCTGTGGGGCTGTTTCAACAGCACCATCTGATTCCGCTTCTGGGGTTGTTCCCCCGGGCGTTGGGTGGAGCAGAGATGACCGTTATCATCGACAGCAGCAGCACCACCACCGCGTTGATCAGTTCGGCCCTTGCAGAGTGCTATTTTTATTTTATATTTAGCTTTATATATGTATGTTATATACCTAGATACCTCTGGGCTCCCAAATGGAAAGGGTCGAGGGACGCAGCTGTGTTGGGTTGTGTGTTGGTGTGTGTGGTTGAGGATGATAACTTTTTCATCATGACGACGTTTCCAGGCTTACCCCCACCTCCCCCTCCGCCCGCGCCTTCTCTGCGTGTTCATTACAAATATAACGTAAGCAGTAGCAGTTACTGCGATTTCTGTCCTTATCCTGACTGTTTTTACTGTCCTTGCTTTTGACAAGTGAATGTTGCCATACCTGGGTTGCCATAGGGGACGGGAGGGAAGAGAAGCAAAATGCAGGACATACGATTATTTGAATGTATGTATGTACATGTGTATGTACGTATGTACGTCTGTCAAACACAACAGGCGCCAGTGGCGTTCATCAGTCACATTGAAGCAACCAAAGCCTCTGAAAGGTCATCATCGATCAAGACGGGTTTCGCCGCCCAGTGGGTGCAGCCCCCCCCCCTCTTCACACACACCCGCGCACTGAGAAACCCCACCACGTCATGTCGTACCATGTCATGAGCCCAGTTCGGGCCAATCAGACAGATCCAGATCCAGTGCAATACTTTCCCCCCTCTTGAGTCGACAAGTCAGCTCTGTACCGCAGCCCGTGGCTCTTCCCGTTTAAGAGGCCTGCGATCTCCCTCCCTTTCCCCCTTCGATGCATTCATATGTAAACACACGCAGTGCCCCCGGTGTGCGTGTGTGCGGGGCCCCCGCCCAGGCAAAGGATATAGCCATCAAGTTGGGGGCAGCCGTCCAAGTCGTGCGCGCCCTTCACACCCCCCAGAGCCCCGCGGCGCCCTCGCAGCACGGCACTGCACCTCGGCAGCCGCAGCAGCTCCACCAGACGGCCTCACTAGTCCCCCTCCCCCCAGCCACAGCCCACTACCCGGCCGCCGCTGCCACCATCCCATGAACCATCCCATGAAAGGATGGGTGTCGAATTTCCCCCCCCCGGGATGGGGCCCCAAAATGTTGGAATTGGATTGGTTGGGGTCCTGATCCCGCACAACATCAACATGAATTCCCGTTTCAAGAACTACTCCGTGATGCCCAACTACCTACTAGGGTGGCACGTTGGAACGGAAGTGTTTGCCACGTCTGCGTCTGGCCCCGTCAACTCCATCATTTAAAACCCCCCCTTCCCCCTAATCCCCCCCGCTCAGAAGCCTTCAGAGCCCCCCGCCGCCCCCGCCGCCAGCACCACCAGCCGTAGTGGTGTGCTGCGGGTGAACAACATCTCCCCCCCGGGCAAAACGAAGTGTTGCTGCCGATCACCATCTCTGTAACCACCACCCTCCGCCCCTCCCCTTCCCTCCCCGCCCCCCTCCCTCGTCTGCAGGCCCCTCCAGGGCACCCCTTTAGCCAGCAGCTCCTCCTGCCCCGCCAACACCGACATCATGCGACACAGCTCAAGGTTCATACGCACACGCCGGGTCGCGAACCAGCCGGGGAGCAGGGACATGCGCGGGTAGGGGCGCGGTGCCGAAGAAGAGGGGGACGACGACGACGAAGGAGAAGAAGAAGGCGGCACAGAAGTACACGTGGCTGGGGCATCAGCGGCGGCGGCGGTAGTGGTGGTAGTGGTGGTGGTTGTGGTGGTGGCGTTGTCGGTTCGGGGGCGGCTCCAGTGGATGTAGCTGTCACGAACCCGTACGGCAGCTTGGCAGGCCGCGTGCTTTTGCCGGCAGTCGGCTATCGCTGGGACCAGCAGCAGGTTCCCCGGCTGGTCTCCCCTCCTCCTCCGCCGCCGGAGGGCCTTTCGACACGAACCGGGGGGTGGGGGTGGGGGAAGGAGGGGAGAGGGCGAGGGTAATGGAAGGGGGAAGCCCCCGGGGGGAGGGGTGACGACGAACAACACGAACGGATTGGTCTTGCACGCACACACACATACACATATCAAGTTAATGTACGGCTAGAAAAAGGGGGTGAAAAAGGGCAAGAGCAGGGCTCCTTGACACGTTTTTTGTCGGACAAACGCACAGAAACGTAAACGAACAGATTTTCGTATGAAACGTGCCCAAACGAGGGTGTAAACGAGGGTACGAAAACTACGATAAAATGTAATAACTGCTTTACTACAATGCACAACTACGTATTCCTTATTGTTTCCTTTATTAGGAGCAGTGATTGGACCATTGCTTAATGGGGGAGCCAGGGCCCAGCAATGCCATCCGGCAGGAGGTCACCATCTATGTACATTGGCCTCAAAAGATAAAGCCCCAACACTTTCAGTTAGAAGATAAACGCTTATGAGCACCAGTATGTAACTTGAGGACAGTTTCAATCAAAGCAACAAGGAATGGCGGCCGCGGAGTCAACTAGATGCGCCATGGTCAATCGGCAACCCAAACGCTCGGAGGCTAGCGTTTTTCGTTTGGTACGGCATCGTTTAGCTCAAGGCAAACGAAAGACTTTCTCGTTTATTTCGTTTCGTTTTCGTATTTCGTATCCGAGATCCCTGGGCAAGGGTCAGTTACCCGTACACCTATTATCACCTGGGTGATGGCCTGCGCCACCTCCTCCAGCGCCGTCCGGCCATCCAGGCACTCCACCACCGCCGCTTGCTGCGACCCCAGGGCACCCTCCAGCAGGTGCAGCAGCAGCTCCACCCGCCCGGCAGCGGCAACCGAGTGGGACCCCGAGTGGGGGCCCCAACTGCTCACGGCTCATGGATTGACCCGTGTGTGTGTTTTGGGGGGCCGGAGAGGTAATGTTCGTCTGTCTGTCTGTCTATATATATGTATATATATGTATATGTATATGTCTATGTGTATGTATATATATGTATATGTATATGTACGTATGTACGCACGTATGTATGTGATGTGAGGGTGGAGAAAGGGGGAGGCGATGTGGGAAACCCACACACCGCCCCACAGTCACATACACACACGCCGTTGACGAAACCCCCCACAAGGAACAAACAAACCCTTAGCCTCCCCCCTTCCCGGCTTCCCCTTACCCCACAAACACATACACCCTGTCACCAGGCGCCGCTCTACCCCCCCACCCCGCGGCCAACAGGGCCACAGACCCCCCAACTATCAATGACACCTCGTCCTGGTGGGATGGCCACTCGTTCCTCCTCCGGCTCCGACCCAACGGCTCACACGCCCTATCAACCCACCTTTCCCTCCCCCTTCTAAAAGTACTCCAGGGACACCAGCCATTCCCAAAGAGACGTATACGCACACACACATACATACACACGCACATACATACATACATACATGATCGGTCGTCCCGATTTCATGGCTTGGGCGACCCGAGAGATGACGTTGTCGCCAACTGGTACGAACCGGACGAGCGACACGCTGTACGGCATCGCCAGGGATGAAGGCGCGGCTGGCGCCTGGCATCAGGTGCATGCGCAAGGTAGTGGCGGTGGTGGTCAAAGCGACAAGCACCGGACACAGCACGATACCGTACGACACGGCAAGGTATTGGAACGAGCGGTGTGAGTGTTTCATGCGGGTTGGGCCAATTGATCTGCAGCAGCTGCAGCTGCGGAAAGAAGAGGTTTAGGCTCATACTCGTACTACAACCGAATGTTGTATCCTTACCCCCCTCCCATCCCCCACAAACCCACCTCATCTCCGCCAGGTGCCACGACGGGCAGTCGAGCCGGGGGCGGTGGCGGCTGTGCCAGTACCGTCAGCGCCAGCATGGGCGCCCCGCTGAGCCGCCTGCCTTCCGTCCCCAGCAGCTCCTCCACCGCCCCCTCCGCCGTCCCCCCCCGACGGGGCCCCCTGCAGCCCGCCACCGCCCGCACCATCTCCGTGTGCGCTCCCATCAGGGAGTTGGCGGCCGCGGTGATGCCCAGGGTCAGCTGCAGGGCGGAGGCACCCAGCGCCCTCACGCTGGTGCAGTGCTGGAGAGCGGGGGAAGGGATGGGGGGCGAGAGAGGGGAGGTCGCGGCGCAAGGGGGCACACATACACACACACGACCGACGGGGGTTACTCGTGACATGAGCCTCTGCCTTCAGGCCTCCCCCCTTTCGCACTGTCCCAGGCCTCCCCCTCCCCCTTTCCCCCCCACCCACGGGGTTGTAGCTGCAACAAGGTGGACTCCTCGTCATGTCCTTACACAGACCACGCACTTGCAACCTCCTAGACACACGCACGTGCTCGCAGATGTATGTATGTATGTATGTATGTATGTATGTATGTATGTATGTATGTATGTATGTATGTAGGTGCATGTGCGCCCCACCCCCTCGTCTCACCCCATCCAAGCACGCCTCCAGCAGCGGCCTGGCGAGGGTGCAGCGCATACTCCACGGGTCCGGGTTACCGCCACCCCCAACCCCAACCCCCGCAGCCACAGCCGCTGGCGGCACTGGCAATGGGCCCGCGGTGGCCGTAGCGGTGGCGGCTGCCGCCCTTCGCGGCGCACACAGCGGCGCCTCCGCGACCTCCAACGGACCCACCGCCACCACTGCGGCTCCTCCTGCTGTTGCGGACGAGGGGGATATGTCGTACATCCCGGGCTCATACGGCACTTTAGCACTGTCCCATGGGACGATGTCGTGCAGCTGCTCGTTCACTCGCAGCTGAGCCACCTCCAATACTTCTTCAATGTCGTACTCCTCATCCAGCACCCAGAAGGACCAGTGACCGCTGCTGGACTGAACAGATACGTGCCGCTTTCCTCGACCGCCCCCCGCCGCCGTCGCCGCCACCTCCACCGCATGCTGCTTGTCGGTCGGTGCATCTGTCGTCTGCATTGCCGAGGGAGGCCCCCCATCGGAGGGCCCCCCATCGCGGGGGGCACATTCTGGTACTTCAGCATCTAGAGGTGCTGCAGCCGTGGTGGCGGCACCCGCACCCGCCGGCGCCTCTTCGCCCTCTCGACACCTCCCGTTTTGCCCCCGGGTTACCCCCTCCCCCTCTCCCCGCTCCTTTAACTGGCTCTGCTGCAGCTGCTGCTGCTCTTGCAGTCGCTGTCGCCGCGACGGCGCCTTGTCCTGCTGCTGCTGCCGTGAAGCTTTTTCCTGCAGGTGTTGCTGTTTCGCATCCCTCCTTTCCCACACATCCTTCTCCGTTGCCGTACACGCCGCTGCGACAGACTCCACGCGAGTCCTTAGATCCTCCAGAAGATTCTGCACGATTCGCTTGTACTCTGGGGGGAACCACGCGGTGGCGGCGGCGGCGGCGGCGGCAGTCCGCCGTGCACGTGACGACATGGTGTCCAGCGCCGTCAGGTGCATCGTCATGGCGTCATAGAAAAGTTTACCAAAAGAGGCCCTGCGCAACTCGTTCAGGTGGAGTTGGAACTTGGCTGTGACCCGTGGGTCAGAGTCGAAGGGAGGGGATGGAGGGCCAGCTGCAGCCCTTGTCCCGTTGGCGATACCCTGAGGACATGCAGCGGTACCAGCTGCAGCGGCTCCGAAGCCAGTGACAACGGCCGGGGCTGTAGCCGCGGCGGCAGCTCCATTGCCCTCCGCTGCCGCCGTCTCCGCCATTCCTCCCCCCTCCAAGCCTTTAGCCCTATTCATAGCAAGGGAGAAAGCCGCATCGCTGGCTAAGACCACATCCTCCACCACCTGTCGTACAGCCCGTACGAGGCGGCACATCAGTGCCAGACTCACGCAGCACTCCGGGAAGGGCCCCAGGGGCAGGCTGCCGGACAGCTGTCGCTCCTGAAAGGCAACGAAGAGAACAACCGGGAGCCCCAATTCGGATACCATCCATCCATCCATCCATCCATCCATCCCATCAGAGGCCTCAACCCTCCAGTTGTACATACTTGTACAACTTCTGAACAGCTGTGAACACACGAAACCCACCTTGAGGTCCACAAGCACTTTCGCGAGTTCGAGGAGATCCGGGTACGACAGCGGTGGTATGCCGTGGTACGACAGGATGGCGTCAGTGAGCGCGGCGCCGTCATTGCGCAGTTTTTCTGCAAGTTCCTTTGCGGACTCGTTGTCGCCGTCGTAGAAGTTTGCGGCGGCCATTACGACGAAGAGGACCAGCATCGCCCGACCCACTAGACCCGACGGGTCCGAGGGCAATGCGGCCGCCTGCGTGTAGACCGATCAAGAAACAACGTTCTAGGGTTATGATGTTACAGGGTTTTGCGTTAGGGAGGAAGGAGAAACTCGTTCCGAATAATACTCATGATCGCAATGTCTTGCGTGACCGTACATTCATACTTGCGTACATGCGCACAACGTACCAGTACGTCAGGCCCCAGAAGAGTGTCCCGTGGGTCTCTGGCGACGCCGCCGCTGCTGCCGCCGCTACCCTGGCCCCGCGTCGCCGCCGCCGCCGCCAGGAGCTCCCCTGCCACCAGTCGCGCATCGATGTCGCTCAGGCATGCCAAGATTTGGTTCTGACAGTTTTCCTCGACAGCCAGAATGTCAGCCTCCAGCTGCCGTTGCCGCTGCTGTCGCCGTCCTCGCCGCCGCTGCCGTTGACTACCGCCGCTGACTACGGCTTCCTCCAGCATCATGGCTTCTAGTTCTTCTTCTTCCTGTTGCCACTGCTGCCTTTTCTGACAAAGCTTTGCGAGTTGCACCGCCGTGCCCTGCAGGCACTTCCAAGCGTGGAGCTGCTGAAGGGTCGCCATGGCGGAATCGTCTCGGACTTGCCGGCCCCGGATGGGAGACCGCTCCCCGCCAGCTGCGGCTGCGGCCCCTGGTGCTGCTGCCGCACCGCCTCCCCCGCAGCGCGGGAGTAATCCAGCGGAGGCGGCCGTCCGGCCAACGCGATGTCGTACTCCAGCGGCCTGACCTGAGTGGCCGTCACTATGTTCACCGCTTAATGCGAGCCCCACGTTGCCATGATGCTGGCAGGTGAACTGCTTCATGTGCTGCTTGAGCTGCCCGGTGTGCGCGGGGTGGGAGCGGGAGATGCGCCAGGCGGCGTGGCAAGCACGGAAATATGTTTGCTGGTGCAGCTTACTGACGAACGCGTGAGGGGAAACATCCAGCATTGCCGTAACGGCTGTTGTGCGATGATGCACTTCATTGGCCGATATGCTTGGAATGTGACGCGGGAAGTGGCATAGCACAGTTGGACGATTACATGATGCTCGGAGCTGCCGGTAAGTCGGTCGCTCAGGCGATCCCGCTGCGCCCGCAACCTCATCGTCGTCGTCTCCCGAAATGTCGTTTCCAGCCAACCGTACTGCAGGTTCGCCGCCGGCGCTGGCCTTCCTCATTTTTTATATATTACAAAAGCTTGACAACGACTTCATTTTTTGACCTGGTCCGTACAGAGTTACTGATCGAACAACCCCCGGAACGGTTCATCGCGTCAAGTCGTTGTTCCGAAGCCAGCGGGCATTGATACATCCGGTTCAGCTTTCGTAAGGAAGTCATCAAATCCCACAAGAATAAAAACCTGTCCTAACCTGTAGTCAACACACTGCCAAGACCTAATGGCGGCAAAGTCACCAGTGCAGCATCTTACAATAATGCAACCGATGGGAAAGCCAAACTGCAAAACGCATCTGGATTGCCGACCTTCTGCCAATGTCAAGAGACCCGAAGGCCTTTCAAAGTGAATGCTTCAGTCAGTTAATTAGCAACGGAAGCCCGTACTTTACCAACCCGCTATGTGATCCTGACCCTAAGCCCAGGATCTCGTCACATGCTATACCGAATTGCTTAATTAAAACATCCTTGCAAACTGCGGCCTCTAAGGGTCTTCCTCCTGCATCCCGGTACCTTGCTCGAAGGAAAGGTAGCCAGGTAGCCAACCAATCCCCCTGCTTTCATACGCATCAGTTCCTATCACGCTAGGATCTGAGACCAATATCCGTACGGCACGCCCCTGTGCACAGTGAAGTATTGGCTTACTGGAGCAGCGGTGCACACGGCCCCCAAACCTCGAGTTGACTTCACCAGTCTAGCACCGTCCTGCAAGTTGTCGTCTAAAACTGGGCTTCCATGGCGTTGCGGGCTAATGCATTGTTGATGTCCTGTTGTGACAGCGACTTGCCTGTATGTCACGGAACACGGGCAGCCCGAACGGACGATGGCATAAGGACTATGAGCCAATCTGCGGCCTTTACTCAAGGGGATCGCATTATGCACATTGGCTCACATGTACAGGCACCCCGCAACCTCCCTTCTCCGAGGTTAGACATATGGCGCAACATACGCACCCGCAGCGGAGTTGTGCTGGTGCAACTTGAGTTTCCATTCGCCCACGCTCTCGTTGAAGGAGTTGAACTCTTCGTCATTTAGCCTCTCGGCGCCAGCCGCATCGCAGACCTGTTTAAGCAGGGTGTAGTTGGCGGCGAGCTGCCGCAGGGCTGCATCGACGAGCGCCTGCATGGTAAAGGGTGGAGAAGCGTGGTCCCAGTCGTGGTATAGCTCAGGATTACATGCGCACCTGCTTTGCTGTCAGCAGGTCTTGGCAAGAAGCCTTCAGCTTGGGGAGCTCGCTGCGCATTACCGAGACAGACCCCGTAGACCGGCATGAGCGATCGCAAGGATGGACATTTCCGCGAACCTACCCAGCCAACTTGCGAATCCGCTTGACCAGCTGGACGGGGTTCACCTAAAGAGCAATTATGCATAGATGCAGGTTGTTGCTAAGGCAAGCAATAAAAGGCTTTCCGGTGGTCGGTACCTCGCCCGACTTGTAAAAGCGCCCCTCTGCTTCTTCCTCCAGCCGGCGTGCTATCTGCTCTAGAGCCGTTTCACCTCTTCGGAGTGCTGCTATAAGTTCATCCGTCTTCGGACGTGGAACTACTGCTGCCATAGCGACGATCGACAGCTAGGAGTATTTTCAAGTAGAAGGTTGATCTGCTTACTGAGAACGTTTGATTTGGCTGTTTGCTCTAATTGTATACTAACAACCTACCATTAGGTTGATCATGGGTAGGCCACAAATAATTGAAAACCATGACAGGCAAGCCCGTTGGGGCCGCCCGCGTCGGCTTAGCGTACGAAGCCGTTAGCCAGATCCACAAACGCTGAAACTTTGCCTGCTGGGCAAAGCAAACATGGCCATATCATTCTAATATTTAGCTGAGCACGACGGTGCCCTGGATTCTGCTCGTAGCCGAAGTTGGTGGCAATTGACGAGGTGGCTGCCCAAACCTCAGCAATCCTTGCAATAAATCTGGGTAACACCCTTTAATATGTATAGGAAAAATCTATGCTGAAAAGGCACGGTCACGGTCATTCACCATGGCCCCGACGCGGTAGACTTGAAGTCTAACATGTACACGTCTCACAAACCAAAATTACATGGGCTTAGTGTAAGACAAATCAATTATGGCCACCAGTGCTTACCGGGGCTGGGCATTGGACGCAAAGCAAAGTACCTGCTACGTATACATATATACAAAGCGGCAGGATGTGAGCTCCGTGTCCACTTCTTGGCAAACGAGAGAGAGCAGTTCTCCAGGGCTCTGCAGCGTTTGCCAAGAAGTGGACACGGAGCTCACATCCTGCTCAGCCGCTTTGTATACTTGTATACGTAGCAGGTGCTTTGCTTTGCGTCCAATGCCCAGCCCCGGTAAGCACTGGTGGCCATAATTGCAGTGTCTTACACTAAGCCCATGTAATTTTGGTTTGTGATAACTGGCCCGGCATACGGACAAGGAACACTTGTAAACACGGGTTACCCTGTCTGTTACCCCTCAGTACAATATTACCCCTACCCCTTTGTTACCCCTTGGTAAGGGGTTACCCCTACCCCTTTGTTACCCCTTGGTAAGGGGTTACCCCTACCCCTTTGTTACCCCTTGGTAAGGGGTTACCCCTACCCCGGGGTTAGGTTACCCACCTCCCGGGGTTAGGTTACCCACCTCCCTTCGTACATAGCCACATGGGTAACCACTTACCCCTACCCCTACCCCTAACCCCTGGGTTATGCTTAAGGGGGGGTTACCCCTCGTTTTATGCCATAGGGCCTTCTTACGCCTACAGCAAAGACTATGAAGCCCTGCTACCCTGCTACCCTGATTTGTGGCATAGCAACTCCCCACTGTGTCCTCATCGCTCATGAACGGCCATAGCATCAGAAGGGCATCACGCTCAAGGCATCGCCACCAGATGCCGCGGCGCCTGTGCTGGAAACATGAACAAAGTTAATCTCGGCTGGAATTCCCGACGTGCCCCCGTGCAAACACGAACAAAGTTAATCTAAAATCGGCTGGAATTCCCGACGGCACACGTGCACGTGCCTTGCAACTAAGGAGGACATCAAGGTGCTGAAGGAGGACATCAATGAGCTGCGGCTTTACCTTTTTCTGCTGTTGGCGGGGATGCTCCTGAGCATCATGCCGGAGAGGCCACTCGGGACCATCACCGCGGATCTCTGGAAGGTGGTCAAGCCATAAGGTACACACTGGGGTGTGGGGATGCAGAAGTGGGGTTGCATCATGCAAAGCGGGTGAACCGGCATTGCTGCAGGTGGCGGAAAGCTTTAGGTGAACCTTCTGCCAGGAATCATGGGACTCTCAACATTAATTCCCTTTGTATCGTTTCTCATCCTGCCTTCCACAGAACACCGGCACCACCTGCTGGTACCTCCCACAGAAGCTGACAGTGTTAGTGGGAGCACGACCCATTCTGGATGTACTAACCCTAAACATGGAGTCGCCCACGAAAATGAGGCTGGAGTCTCTGGTAGCGCACACAGAGTCTCCAATTGGCTTTAGAGCATCCCGTGCTCTCAATGCTATCAACCTCCTACTGGTGGAAGTGCACCATGGGCTGGGATCGGACAAGTCATTTGAGGAGAACCTGCAGCAGCTGACGAATAAGCGATGGGGATGCCAGACAAGGACCCGCTGCTGTCTCGTCCAGACGCCGCCATCATTC